TGTATATATATATATATATATATATATATATATATATATATAAGGAATGATCCTTTTACTTCAGGAATAAGTCTACTTAGACTTACTCCGTTCAATAACTCATGTTCTACATCAAATTTTAACAATTCAACCGTTCAATTTAAAGTTCTTAATGCATAGATCAAATCTGCAAATTTTTAGAAAATTTAAAAATTATTTGATACTTCATTTCATTAATTCAAATCAATGTATAAAATGATTTTATGATTATCCGTCAAATCAATGTATAAAATGACAAACTTGTAAGATATACTTAAAACCTAGAGGTATATTCCAATTAAACTTTTATTAAATTCGTTATGTTACAAGAAGCTTTAGATGGCGAGAAGATTATGTCTAATCAACTATATTCTTAACTCATTACTTACATTTTATTTATCATTTTTCAAGATCCCAAAAAGTTGTTGCAAAAAAAAGGTGATGAGTATACAAAGGAAATTCTCATGGGATGGCAAGGAAAAAAATAGGAAGACCTCTTGGGGAAGTTAGGATATGATTTGCATGCCAAAAAGTAATGGGGGTTTGGGAGTAAAGGATATAATTATGTTTAATGAAGCCTTAATGAGGAAGTGGAGGTGGAATTGATTTCATCAACAAGGGTCCATGTAGACTAATGTGGTTGAATCAAAATATGGAGATGGAGGAAATTGTTGGAGGAGACTAGTGGGACAATGAATCTCTATGGTTGAGTGACCTAGGGAAAATCTGTGGTGGAGAGAGTCAAACAAAATGGTTTGGTGACATGTTTAAGTGGAAAATTGGAAATGGTGAAAGGATAAAGTTTTGGAAGGATTGTTGGATGAATGGAGAAAGACTAGTTGACAAGTATACATGGCTATATGCTAATTTAGAACAAAAAGAATAATGGATAGGAAATGTGGTTGAATGGGTTGAAATAGAGTGGGTGTGGAAGTTGAGAAGGGTATTAATGCCAAAGGAAATGAATAATTAGAGTTGATATTGAAATAAACCAAGTAGGAAATTTGATGATTAGGAATACGATGATCATATGTGCAACATGTTTTGCTGTAATAGAGGAGTTGTTTTGTGCCTTACTTAGGTTAATAGGTGTACCTACATGATGATACATAAGTAATTTTTTCACTTTACTCTTCATCCAAAAAGTCCTAATCCTTGTAGCCAATGTACTTGGTATTTTCCTAGTTTTTAGTCATGCTCGTCTAAGAAGAAAAAATGAGGGTACTTGCAAAAGATATTTTAACCCTGAAGTCGGTTCTCGGGTCCAGACGAGTCAACACAATTAATGCTAGAAAAACCTCCTTTCTCTCTCTTACACATCACTATTTATACTAACCTTCTTGGATTTGGGCCTATATGCTAGGCCCATCAAGCATCATCATACCTTTAATGATGTCTTGGTATTCTTTATGAATTACTTTGATTCTTGTTGCAAATCAAAGAGTCCTCGACCTTACCCTTCAGATAAGTCACTCCGTTATAATAGGTATTTATGTTAAAACAAATAAATATATATTAATCTGGGAACTAGAGATAAGTGTTTTATTCTTATTTTTCTTTGCAAACTCCTTTTGCTATTTTTGGCATAGGTAATACATATAAATATATTTTACCGATAAAAAAATTAATTTCTGTCTTCTGAATTGCCTCTAGGTATGGCAATGGGGCGGGGCGGGGGTTTCCCTCCCCCCCCCCCCGCCCCCACAAATTTAAACTGCCCCCGTGTAACGTAGTAAGTTTTTTTTTAAAAAAATATGGGTGATTTAGTAGCCCAAAACGGGTCATTCCCAATCTGGAACGAGCCGTTCCAAACTACTAAATTGACCTGAAAAATGTAGTTGAGAACGGGCCGTTCTGGAGGGAGCACGGGCCGTTCCAAACCCCAAAACGGGCCGTTCTGAAGGGAGTACGTGCTGTTCTGGATGAAGAACGAGCCGTTCTGCATGTCATTTTTGTACGTGTTGAGGGGGTGCAGAACGGGCCGTTCTGGATTCGTAACAGGCCGTTCTGGCCACTCCGGAACTTCTATAAATAGGGGTTGGTGGTTGAGGAGAAAGTGAAGTTTTTAGAGAGAAGTTTTAGAGAGAAGGACTCTAGGTCTATGAGCGCCTTTCTCTCCCAAATTTCTCTGCATGATTCCTTTTCTCCTCTAGATCCCTAATGCCTTCTGTCTTTCCTTGAAATTCAGATTAGGAAGCTTGCTTTGGGAGGATTGAAGTTCCGGGTTGAGCTTCGGAAGGGAATTCTACTTCTTCTCAA